TAGAAATCACACAAAACGCTTTGCTTGGGTTCTCACACCATGCCAGAAATCAACAATATTTGTGATCATGGCTTTGTTTATTCTCGTTATTTCGCTTTTCTTCAGCCCTGCCGAGAACTGTTTTCGTATTCGTTTGGATAGGCACTGACTCCTGCAACCGGTATATTCTGATCCACAGGAGCAATTAAAGGTTCAAATGCACATATTTCGTGATCTACCTTCTCAGTGTGAAATAGGGGTCTGTCGAGAATAAGGTCCGAACTCTTGCTCTTCGAAAGCTTCACTAGACAGCTTGGTCAAGGGTACCGACCTTTTATCCCATTTAGGTCCTGTTTGGAGACAGGAGACAGGAAGTATGCGCAGGGCCACCTATATTACCTGGGCGGATTGCTCATGTAATGGTCTAAGTAGTGTTTGTGCCTGTAATGCTACAATCATTAGATCGAATCCCCAGGTTAAAGGTTTAAGGCAAAAGTCACCAAAAGGAGTGTTTTATTGTGTACAGAACTCCCCATTTCTGTCTCACCTAGCAGTGACCCCAGGCGAAGCCAGGGCTGGACCTGAATGTGTCCAGCCAGATCCGGGAGAGTCAACTGTGTGTTATGTGGGGTGATGAAAGTTGCTTTTACATGACTGTGAAGCGAGTTCAAGTGTTTTATCATTAGTGTGTTGCAATTGCCCGAGGGAATTTTGCCTGTAGAGGTCTTTGCTGCATCGGCCGAGGGGTGGTGTATTCAAGTGGCACTTAGACAGGCATGCTTCTTTGGACGCGCGTGTATGCGCGGGTGTGTGAGCACGTGTGTACGTGACTGGGTAAGCTGAGGTCAACTGTGGGGGCCACTGGAAAGCCGAAGGACAGGGGGAGTTAGCGCAGCTCTTATTAGTTAACCAGAAACAGCTGCGAGGTCAAGCCTCGGGGGCGGAAGCGCCCATGAAAGAAGGCATTATAAAGTTGTTTGTGACCACGCATAACTTTGAGGCCTTGGATAAAGAAGGCGGATATCCATTGTGTTCTTTCCGCCAAACTCATATTCACTGTTTAGGGGACCATATACGTGATCCATATCGAACTGCGACCTAAAGCATTGCAGAAGTTAGCCTACCTACCGAGGGCAAGACAAGCCCGTGCGGAAAAGGTGCATAGCTTTGTTCTCCTTTATTCTTTGGAATGTCCGCATGCTGTGGTCTATGGTGTTGCAACAGTAGTCAAGGCCGAGGTGTCACCGTCTAATTACGCCTTGTGTGAAGCCCCCAAGGAAGAACACGACAAGAAGAGCGCAACAGCAAAAGTCTTTGAGTGTCAAAGGTACAACATCTTTAAAGCAACAAACGCGGGTAAACTATGTCCATCGGGTCAGTCAGCTTCTGGCCTCGCGTAGCTAGTGGCACGATTGGGTTTTGACTCAGCGGCAGGCTGCAGCTTAAATTGTCCATTGATTGACTGCAAGTTTGCATTCGCTCGCGTGTAGGCCGATCGATAGCCTCTCTTTAGCGCTGCTCGCTTTGCATGTTAGCTGCCTGTTAGCTACTCCTAATATATGGATCGACCGAAGCCGCCACGCTTGACTCAAATCTCATAGAATGGGCGTGTCATAGAGGTCAGGGGTGGCTGGTGTCTGGGCCTACAACTGCGCGTGTCACAACCACCATGCTCCGCCCCCTCAGATTGGTTAGCGATTCTGTGAACTTATTTTTTTGACTGGCCATGTCAGATTTTCCTGAGTTCTGTCCGAGAATACGCTGCCGGGTCTGGACTATCTGTTTTTGTCCGCTTAATGTCCCCAACACTCATCATCGAGTTTCCTTTAGTGCTGCCCTAAACTCATTTTTTTCTAAATTCTATCTCTTTTTCAGCCAAGGACTACGCCTTCGATGTCCGTCTCACATGTCGAGAGGTCTACGACCGAGCGC